AGCTGAGGCCGAGGGAGAGTTCCGTCAGCACGACGGCGTGGTGACATTGATGATGAAGTTACCGGCACAAGGCTTCGCCTAAGCACTATGATGATATGACCGAGGTGGAAAACTGTGGAGGGGGCACCGCACATGACTAAAGATCAACGTGTGTATCTATGGGGTGCCCCCCTCCCCCGTATATAAAGGAGGAGTGGAGGGGTCCGGCCGGCCTCAAGGGGCGCGCCCAAGGTGGGGGGACTCCTACTCCAAGTAGGAGTAGGTTCCCCCCTTTCCTAGTCCAACTAGGAGAAGAAGGAAGGAGGGGGCGTCGCCCCTCCCCTTAGTCCAATTCGGACTAGGTCCATGGGGGGCGCGCGGCCAGCCCTTGGCTGCCCCTCTCTCTCTCCCCTAGGCCCAATAAGGTCCATTACTTCTCCGGTGGTTCCAATAACTCTTTCGGCACTCTGATATTTATCCGGTGACCCCCGAAACTCATCCGGTGTCCGAATAACATCATCCAATATATCAATCTTTATGTCTCGACTATTTCGAGACACCTCGTCATGTCCGCGATCTCATCTGGGACTCCGAACAACCTACGGTACATCAAATCACATAAACTCATAATATCAATCGCCATCGAACGTAAAGCATGGGGACCCTACGGGTTCGAGAACTATGTAGACATGACCGAGACACGTCTCCGGTCAATAACCAATAGCGGAACCTGGATGCTCATATTGGTTCCTACATATTCCACGAAGATCTTTATCGGTCAAACCGCATAACAGCATATGTTGTTCCCTTTGTCATCGGTATGTTACTTGCCCGAGATTCGATCGTCGGTATCATACCTAGTTCAATCTTGTTACCGGCAAGTCTCTTTACTCATTTCGTAATACTTCATCCCGTAACTAACTCATTAGTTACAATGCTTGCAAGGTTTATAGTGATGAGTATTACCAAGAGGGCCCAGAGATACCTCTCCAAAACACGGAGTGACAAATCCTAATCTCGATCTATGCCAACCCAACAAACACCTTCGGAGACACCTGTAGAGTACCTTTATAGTCACCCATTTACGTTGTGAAGTTTGGTAGCACACAAAGTGTTCCTCCAGTATTCGGGAGTTGCATAATCTCATAGTCCGAGGAACTTGTATAAGTCATGAAGAAAGCAGTAGCAATGAAACTGTAACGATCATAATGCTAAGATAACGGATGGGTCATATCCATCACATTATTCTCCTAATGATGTGATCTCGTTCGTCAAATGACAACACATGTCTATGGTTAGGAAACATAACCATCTTTGATTAACGAGCTAGTCAAGTAGAGGCATACCAGGGACAATGTGTTTTGTCTATGTATTCACACATGTACTAAGTTTCCAATTAATACAATTCTAGCCTAATTAATAAACATTTATCATGAAATAAGGAAATAAATAGTAACTTTATTATTGCCTCTAGTGCATATTTACTTCACTAAGAAAACCGACAAAGAAACAAAGAAAACTGACAGAAAAGAAAAGGGAAAGGAGAAAACCAAATAAAATCACTGCAACAGTGCAAACACTGATAAGATTTGACCTTCCTCTAAAGGATCATTTTTATACAACAAGAAACCCTCAAAGGATTCAATTGGATTCAATGAACCATATGATCATAAAGCGGCAATTCATCATATCCCATCAAACACATCCATGAATTACATCAAATTAATCTGGATCATGTGAGGCAGCTCGCGGGAAATTGGTGTTGAAAATGAGAGAGAGAGAGAGAGAGAGAGAGAGAGAGAGAGAGAGAGAGAGAGAGAGAGAGAGCTACTACTATGGACCCTAAGGTCCTAAGGGAACTACTCATACATGGTCATGGAGACAACAAGGTTGATGAAGAAGCCTCCGACAATGGATTCTTCCTTCAGCAGAGTAACGAAACATGCCTCCAGATTGGATCTCCTTGGAACAGAAGCTTGCGGTAGTGGAAAAACTCAAAAAAAAACTTGCGAAGGGTTTCACAAAATTTGAAATTTATAGGAGGAAGAATGGATGTAAGTCGGAGGACACGGAAAAATTGTTTGCAATTGAAGTATGGGGATTCCCAAGTATGCTCAATTCAGTCGATTTCATGCATTCACAATGAAAGAACAGCTTGAAAGGTTTGCCCATGCATTACCAAGCTCACACCAAAGGGACCACCAACATACTTGAAGGAGTGGCATCAAAGGACTTGCATATTTCTTTGGCACGCCTTTGTTCAATAGACTTTGTGGTGAGGATACTCTAGCATGCATCTACACTATCAACGGACACAACTACAAATTAGGGTACTACCTTGCCAATTGTATCTATTCTCAATAGATGGCGTTTGCGAAGACTATATCTAATCTCCGAGGTAGGAAATGATACCTCTTTGCACAAATGTAAGAATATGCTAGGAAGGATTTGTAAAGGGCAGTCAGAGTGCATGAAGCCCGTATGCATGATCTTGAGAAGTTCGGAATTCATGTCCACCTCGGGAACAAGATGTGGAGCATTTTGTCAATTTTCTAGAGATGCAACGACAACTTCGAGATGAACACGTGCACATGCAACTTCTCGATGTTCTTATGCAACTTCGAAATCAAGGAACTATGTATTCTATGTTTCAATCATGCACTATGAACAAATTTTATGTTTGAACCATGTATTTTTATGTACAAATAATTTTTATTTGGGTACGCTATTAATTGGTTGTGTTTAATGATCGGTGTGTATGTGTTTGCATGGATTTGGGGTTTAAAAAAATGAGGATGTATTTACAAATGAGACATTTGAGGGGCGGACAGGCGCTGTCCACAGACATGCATCGACACATCCGTAAACCTACAAGGGTCTGCATTTGTGAAGTCCGGTTGTAAACCCTCTTAAAGGGAGATAGATCTAGATTTGATCGGACGATTAGAATTGATGGACCAAAATATCCTTTTATTCGAATTGATTGTAAAACAAATAGCTATTTCCTTGGACACTCTAAAGCAAAACATTTCTTCAACAGAAAAAAAAGAGAAAGTATGTTTTTAGTCCCTCAAGTTTTCCAAAAGTATAGACTTGGTCCCTCAAAAAAATTGGTATACATTTGGTCCTTCATGTCTCAAAACCGGATAAGCTTACCCCAAAACCAGATTTTGAGCACATTGACCGGGATTTGACCACGTTGACCAGGTTTAACCGATGAACAGTAAATTCAAAAAATAGCAAACAAATTCAAAATAAATCTGAAATGTCGTGACAACCAACATGCTTTGGTGCACAAGGTGCGTGTAAAATTTTATGGTTAAATAACATCCTTGGAGCTCTAGCAAAAAAAAACCTCCCTCAAATGTCGAAACGCCCAAACAAATTTCCACGCACCTAGAGCACCCAAACATCTTGGTTGCCACAAAATTTCAGATTTTATTGCTATTTTCTTAATTTGTTGTTCACCGGTCAAACCTGGTCAACAAGGTCAACCCCGGTCAATGTGCTTAAAATTTTGGACCAAGCTTATCTGGTTTTGATACTTGAAGGACCAAATGTATAAAAAAAATTTATGGGGCCTAGTCTATACTTTTGGTTAACTTGAGTACCAACAACATACTTTTGTCAAAAGAAAAAATGCGTACCTGAGATGGAAAAGGCAAACCCAGCTCTCCATGCCATCTCCTGTTCCTGTTCCCCTTATTCTCCCCAATCCACGGCTAGGTTGTGAGCCCTAGCTCCTCGCTGATGTGAGCGTCGCCCGGAGATTCCCGATCCAGCTGCCGGTGCTCGACTCCGTCCCCCGGCCTTCCTCCTCTTCCCCTTTCGCACAAGGCGCTCAAGACTCGTCCGCGGTGAGCTCCCCCATCTGCGCATTGTCTACCAGGAGTTAGGACAGATCGATCGAGGCTCTGCCCGGCCAACATTGTTTCTTTCTTTCAGTAGATCTATATCTATCATCTGTGCTTGGTAGTGCAGTTTTTACCTGAAGTGTTTGCGGATTGCTACTTTACCTGGCCAAAATGCGTTCCTTTTAGTAGATCTATCTATTACGCCGGGTACAAATGGTTAGGAATAGGAATGTCTACTCGGTTCCGATGCAGACAGCAGACCTGCCACCGTTTCAGCATGTTTTACAGTACGAACAACAAATGTCCGTTCCAAAGCAGATGGCCCAAAATTGCTAGCACTTTGCCTCATCGGAATCTGTGTTCTTTTAGTTCATCTGAGCTTGGCAATGGAGTTAATTTTGATCTGCTATACAAGCAACAAACAACAAATGTCCAGTAATTTTCCATCAGCCCTTTTCATCTAAGCAGAAATGGAAATGGTCACTGGTCGCTGATGCTGGGCCATTGCAAGAAAACATTTCTTTTACAGCTTGCCATACTCTGCTCCTGTTGGTGTTTTAAACCAGAGGACGACAAACAAAAGTCTTCTTTTCTGTATTTTATTAGTGATGCACCTGATTCTCTGGAAAAACATGCTCTGCGTACTGTCTAAGCTTAATTGGGGCTACTACTTTCTGCAGCTGTTGTTACCAAGTGCAAGAAGCATTCATATGTAGTGCCCGGTTAGGTGGTACAGCAAATTTGGTTTTGCTACTTCCTTTCTCTCTGGTGGATTTATGGGTTCTGCCGCATCTTCGTATTTTCATTATGCTCTGAACTTCAGCCTTTTTTATAAATTGAGCTAATGGCCTTTGGTCTTATAATTCTACAATAAGGGCATGTACAATGATTGATGAGATTATCTTATCTTAAGTCTTGCATTTTAATTTAGAGTTGACAAGAAAAATGTCTACAATGGGTCATCTCTTAGCCTTGTCTTTAATAACTAGTCATTCCTAAATAAGAGAAGACAAGCCTTTTCTTATGAGTTCTCTCTCCTCCACCTCATCATTTATCCTACATGGCACTCCTAAGATAGCACCATTGTGCATGCCCTAAGCATCTCTAGTTGCAGCTTTTACTCTGTTTAACCATGAATCCTATTTCTTCCCTTGTAGACTTTGCACGATGGAGGCTGCGCGGTATGGACCTTGGTCAGATCTTCCGCCGGAACTCCTGGGCCTTGTCCTCAAGCGCCTCCCTTCGCTAGCTGACCGTGTTCGTCTGAGAGCAGTCTGTCACCCATGGCGCTCTAATGGTCTGCTGCAACAGCTTCCCATCCCATTCCCGTGGCTCACCCTTCCTGATGGTACCTTCTTCAGCATCCCAGGAGGCGAGGTTCACCGCATGCCTATACCAGATGGTGCTAGATGTTGTGGTGCCATCGACAACTGGTTATTCCTCATGAGCAGTGATGACACATGCACGTTGATGAACCCTTTCTCCAAGACCACGTTCGAGCTTCCTAATCTGGTCGCAGTTTGGCGGTGTGAGGCGCATTATGAATCTGATCCTAAGCAACTTTTGTACAAGTTGGTCACACCCTCAGCCCTGGACATATCACCTGATTCCCTCATTGCGGCATTGACCAAGGATGGTGGCAATGGTACACTTTGCATTAGCCAGCCACCGATTGCCACTTACATGGTACAGGGCAATAGGAAGCCATTGCAGCACCTATTTGATGTTGCCTTCTTTGATGGAAAGTTGTACGCGGTGTCTGTCTTTGGCAAGCTCTTCAGCCTTAAGTTTAGCAACAACCTTGGTAGTAAGCCGAAGATCAAATGCGTAATTGAGTCTTTGGGTGACTGTCGTGGAGGACCAGAATGCATTCCCAGAGAGGAAGTGTGTACATACAGGTTATATCTAGTTGAATGTGGTGGTAGACTGTTGATGGTTAGACGATTTATTCGTCACATAGGCCCTCTCTCTAGGGATTATGTGTTTGAAAATATGCAGACTGGTGGGTTTGTTGTCCTCGAGGCAGACTTGGGCTCCAACCCTTGCCGATGGAGAAGGATCAGTGAGTTGGGTGCTCTCTTTATTGGCCAGCATGGCTCCAAGTCTATGCCTGCTAGAGAATGCAGCGGATCTGAAGAAGATTGCATCTACTTCATTTGTGACTATCCCCATCCAAAGTATTTTTCGAGTCCATTTCGCGACTGGTGTGTACAACATGCGAAATGAGAGGATCACGCCATTGATGCCTCAGACAGCAGCACCGGCACATGATGCCGGCCAGTGGCGCCCGGCATGGTTTTTCCCTGCTGAACCTGTGTGATCAATCTACCAGGGTTTACTCTACTGAAGCTTTATGAACAGAGGGGTGTACAGATTCTCATATGTATGCCTAACTTGCTCTGCTGAAGCTTTGTGATCATGCCAGACTGGGCGCTGGCCATATTTATCCTAGTGATCTGTTATCGTGCGCCTTAAGTTATTGGTTAGTAGTATGATGATATCAACCAGCCTGGTTCTGGTTCTCTTTATCCTAGTACCATTGGGAACTTTTAATTAGTATGCTGGTGTACGCTTCAAATCTTACGAATGATCTCAATGGGATGTACTTATACCATAATATAAGATGTTATTACATCTAATATGTGAGTACGTTGGATGTAATAACATCTTATTTGATGGGGGCAGAGGGAGTATTTGGATGTGCAACTTGATCTTTCATCCGAGTGATATGTAAGCTATGCCGTGTAACCTGAACAAATTTTTACCCGCAAAAAAAAAAAAACTGAACAAAATTTTCATCTCTGAAGGTGAACAAACTTGGACACTATCGCCTGAATCCTGACCACTGTGAAGTAAGAGCATCTCCAGCCGTTCGGCCCCCCAGGGCGCCGAAAAAGAGCGGCCTGGGGGTGAGCCGGCGATAAACTCGGCGATGGTGGCGGTTCGGCACTCAGCTGTTGCCCCTCAGGTCATCCCCAGGCGCCGATTTTGGCCCAGTGTTCGGCCCAATTATGTCCAAAAACCGCTTGATATCTACGTGAATCGGCCCATATTCGGTGTGTTTTGGCTTGAATTTTCGCATACAAATAGAAATCAATTAGTTTGTCACATAGTTAGGCATTGTTCGGCGTGTTTCATCACATAAATCAAATAGTTCAACAAATAGTTCAATACAAATTATATAGTTTAACAAATAAAAATTCAAGTTTCATCATACGTCATTCCCGGCCTCGCCCTTGAGCCTCCATAGGTGCTCCACCAGATCGTGTTGCAGTTCTTGATGCACCTGTGGGTCTCGGATCTCCTGACACATATTGAGGTAGTCAGTCCAGTTTGCCGGTAGCTTGTGATCAACTTGGGCAAGAGGACCCTGCTTGCAATATGGTCCAGTGTCAAACACTGGCTTTTCCTACTCGCTCTCAATGATCATGTTGTGCAAGATGACACAGGAAGTCATGATCTCCCACATTTGATCTTTCGACCAGGTCAGAGCAGGGAACCGGACAACAGCAAATCGAGATTGGAGCACACGAAATGCCCGCTTGACATCCTTTCTGCAAGCCTCCTGAACCTTCGCAAACCAGGCGTTCTTGCCTCCTGGCGCAGGGTTTGAGTTGGTCTTCACAAATGTCCACCATCTCGGATAGATGCCATCAGCTAGATAGTACCCCTTGTTGTGTTGTCGCCCATTGACCTCAAAGTTCACCGAAGGAGAATGACCTTCAACAAGCTTGGCAAAGACTGGGGAGCACTGTAGGACGTTGATGTCATTGTGAGTTCCTGGCATCCCAAAGAAAGAGTGCCAAATCCAGAGGTCATGTGTGGCCACTGCCTCAAGTACCACATTGCAACCGCTGTTGGCGCCTTTGTACAACCCCTGCCAAGCAAATGGACAATTCTTCCATTTCCAATGCATGCAGTCGATGCTTCCAAGCATCCCAGGAAATCCTCTTGCTTCATTTTGTGCTAGGATCCGAGCAGTGTCTTCGCATTGGGTATTCGCAAGTACAGCGGTCCAAACACTGCCATCACTTCCCTGTAGAACTTGTAGAAACACTCAATGGTGGTGGACTCGGCCATGTGCCCATAGTCGTCGAGTGAATCACCGGGGGCTCCGTATGCAAGCATCCTCATAGCTGTCGTGCACTTCTGGATCGAGGTAAATCCAAGTGTGCCAGTGCAATCCATCTTGCACTTGAAGTAGCTGTCGAACTCCTGGATGGAATTCACAATCCTGAGGAAAAGCTTTCAGCTCATCCGATAACGGCGCCGAAATGTTTTCTCACCGTGCAATGGAGCATCGACGAAGTAGTTCGAGTAGAGCATGCAGCAGCCTTCTAGACGATGCTGGTTCTTTGCTTTCACCCGCCCAAGCGCCGAGCCACCTCGCCGTGGATTTTCACTGCTTGCGAGCAGGCCGGCGAGGGCGGTGAGCACCATGAGATGCTCCTGCTCCTGGACATCGGCTTCGGCTTCCTCCTCCAGCAACGCTGCGAGCGCCTCCTCATCTTCGGATTCCATCGCCGGGCCGGGCAATTCACGGAACACCTTGCGGGCGAGGTGGGGCGCAAGCCCGCCGGTGTACAAACCCTACGCGGCCGGAATGGCGGAAAAGTTGCCCGGACGGCGGCGAACAGGATGCCTTAGCGAAACCCCTTCTTTTTCCCAGCGGGAGATGGTCTACCTAGCTGCGGTGGGTGGTGGACGGCACCAGGATCAGCAGGGTGGCGCAGGGTGGCGGCCGAGCGCGGGGGGTAGGAGGCGAATCTGGACGGGTGGCTTGACTTTTCGCCTGCCAATGTGGCCCCAGGAATGCTTTTCTCTTGCGCCGGAGCCCCCGAGCGCCCCCAGTGCGCCGGGTTCGGCCTACGATCACCGGGCACAAAAACAGGCCGAGCCGGCGGAATTTGGCGTCTTGGGGGCGCGACTGGGCTGTTTTTTCGGCGCCGGCGCAAAAAAATCGCCTGGGGAGGCTGTTCTGGGCGCGGCTGGAGATGATCTAAGCCTGGTGTGTGGTTATCTTTATCCTAGGGAGTACACTTCAAGCTCCTACAGTAGATGATCTGTCGATCTTAATGGGATCTACCGAGTTCTGCTCACAACTATGCAATTAGTCTTGCAGCAACCTGATCTTTCTTTCAAGTGCTATGCAATGTAATTGAACAACTTCCTTGAAGGTCAACAAACTCGAAACAAAGCTCAAAAAAGTTCCATTACACCGCGCGGAGTCCGTCCCAATAGGTGACGGTTGGTGTCCTTGTCCGGCGATTGCAGAGGCGATCGCACCCACGACCTGGGGGTTTCCCGTCTCCAGTTCTCGTAGATCCCGATCTGGTCTCCGATCTGGAAGCCCTCCGTCGTCCTGGTGATCTCTCCATTTAGTCGTCATGCGGTCGTAAAACACCCTAACCCTAGGTGGAGTCGGGGGTGGTTCGTAGGTTGGAAGTGATGGATGGTGTTGCAGGGTTGATGAGGGGCCTGAAGTTGTCGGAGGAGGAAAGGAAGGGGATCAGAATCAAAACCGCAGCCAAGGAGAAGGGGAAGAGTGGCGAGGCGCAGGCGGTGGGGAAAGTGATCTCGGAAAAGCTTGCACATCCTGATGCGGTGAAGCTGTCTCTAGGCAAAGTGTGGTGCCCTATCAAGGGGATCGATTGTAAGGAGGTGGGGGAGAACATGTTCCTATTCACTTTCTTCCAGGAATCCGGGAAGAAGAAGGCGATAGACAGCGGGCCATGGATGTTCGACAAAGAGTTAGTTGTGGTAGAGGATTTCAACCCGAGCAAAAGACTGGATGACTATGAGTTCACTAATATTCTGATCTGTGTTCGGGTCTTTAATCTGCCATTAGGTATGATGACTGCTGAGTCAGCTGAGGAGATAGGAAACATCATAGGGCAATTTGTGGAAGCGGATATGGGATCTGGCAGAAACGCAATAGGGAAGTACTTGAGGATAAAGATCCAGATGATGATTAATAAGCCCCTCATGAGAGGGTTTACGCTGGATGGAGAGGTGGATGAAGTGAGTCAGGGTTCTGGGAGGAAGCAAGGGGAGGTAGCTGAGAGTGGGAGGGAGGAAGAGGAAGGTGGATGGTGTCGTTTTGAGTATGAGTATCTTCCCGACTTCTATTACACATGTGCGATGATTGGACATGGGGAGAAGGACTGTATGAAAAAACTGAAGAAAGGAGAAGCACCACAATTTGGTCGATGGTTAAAAGCAGATATGGGGTATAGGAAGACAGGATCAGATGAGGGGTTTTGGCGCACCTCAAGGCGTGTGGGTGGTGGAAACAATACACTTGGCTATAACAGATCGAGTCATAAATCGGGGAGTGGCAGCGACAGCCTTTCCTGGAGGAAGAGTGATTCTTGGTCGAGTGGACGAGCTTATGGTAAGACGGAAGGAGCGGAGGAAGTGACTAGCCCATCTAAAATTGGTTACCCGCGTGAAAGAACGGGCATCCCTAGGAATCTACTACTGGGAGGAGGAGGGAGTGAGGGTAAGAACAA